CGATCCTGAATTTTCTCTATTCGAATATAACATTAATCGCCTACATATTATTCATTCAAGGAATTTTTAGAAACAATATCTCTATATTCTACGAATACAAAGAGAAATCATATAAATATAGATTCAAAAATGTTTTATAAATAAATGATGATAAAAACACAAAATGGTTTTCATCCGATATGGTTTTCACAATATCGCTGTATAAAACTGATATCTATTAAAAATTAAATTTATTACATTGAATTTCTAGCTGATTTCCTTTCATTTCGGTAAATTTAAATACAAATTTACTGAAATTACATTAGCTTCTTCTAAATAAAAATTCAGTGGTATGATGTCTGGTAATCTTGAAGGTCAAGGATTTTCTAGTTATTGCTGATACTGATAACAACTATATTATTTTTCTACAACGATGTCAAATAGTAAACATATCTTGTGTAAACAGATTACATAAATACCAGTAATCTGTTTTCATGCTGTATTGAACGAAAACCAGTCAATTGTCAATTGTTAAGTATTTCGTACTTTTGCCACTTTTTTTCTTTCATTTATATAACATTTTTCATTTTCATTTTTATAGAATATACTAGAATTTTTATAGAATATGCTAGCATCGTTTCACGGAAAAAAGCAAGGATACGCTCTATATTAAGTTTTCTTCGAAGAAGTCATATGATAAAAAATGATCGATAAATGGCAAAACAGCGTAAGTTTTGCAATAAGAATTCACTATACTTTTCTACGTTTGAGCTTCTTTCATAACATTTATAATTGTTAACACATCGTTGGTACAAACTCTATAATTAAGCGATTTTCATTCGCTTCTTCAGGATTGCAGAACGTACAGAATAAATGAAAAGTTGTCTTAATTACAGAATGTCTGATGTTACATGTCATTCATGATTCGTGATCAAACGTTGAACATAAAGAAAAAACTTTACGTTTCAGAAATTTGCATAAAATATGAATGTGGAGACGCTGATGTCACGATCGGAATCGGCACATGTTCCAGAAAAAAAAAGTATGGATCTCGTTAGCGTGCGAGTCAGTTGTTAATGTATGATCATAGAGTGTGCATCGCGTAATTGAATGCTATATAGTAGATTATTTATTACTCATTATATTAATTCTAATCTCATCTGTATTATTCTCACAAAATATCAATCGAGAGATATCATCTATGATATTTTTCAATAATCGGTTTATCAAAGAAATTAGAAATTATTTTTCTAATATTATAAATATATTATAATATATTACAAAAATTTATAAAATGATTAATTCAATAATAATGTTGTTTGTTTTGCTCGTAGTTAATTTAAAATAACTAAATATCCTGCTTTCTGAATAGCGCATATCAGACAATGCTTAATCAACGATTAGCAAACTGGTTTCATAATTATAATCGCAATTGCAATTTTAAATTGCAGTTTTAAATCCTCGGAGAGAAAAATTAAAATAATGAAAAGTAATAGCAAATCATATTTAGTACCAATAGGTGTGACGCAAGTAGAAAGAATTTAAATTCAGTAATATCGTATTTCGTTAGTAAAATAATTGGACCATGAAGGAACAAGATATCCCCCCCACACACACAC